CATACCAGGCGGACCTAAGTCTGATCCAAATAAACTGTTCCTTCTTGGCATCGATCAGACATCTATCGAAGAAAAGTATGATTGACCTTCGATAAGCGTCAATGTGACACTTGCAAGAAACGTACACACTGATACTGTGCTTGGCCGCTACAAAAGCACGTCGACACTTCTTGAAAATACTTCCACAGCTGGGGCGTTGGGTCGAGTAGAATAGAATTACCCAGAGCAACTGTTGTCTTCTACGACCATCTGGTTAGGATCTACCGAGCCTCGTCATTTTCGCGGTTACAGAGTCGGCTGGGTAGTTTCACCAAGCTCCGGATGTTGGCCAGTTGTTTTCTTCGAGGACTACAGAAGTAGACCGGACCAGCAGAGAGGAACAACTGTTGGGTGCAAACATTTGTGAAGTCGTTCAACTCTTTCGAGCCAACGCATAACCTTGTCAATTTGCACACAACGCTGAAACCGTCTGCCTCACTTTGCCAGCCACCACGTTCGTCTGTTCTGTTGTTCCTATCCGAGGCTCTGCTCTCATCCACAATCAGCCCTAGCCGTTTTACAGCGGAGTCCTTCAAATAAATTACTGCGCAATTCTACGGACTCCACTTCCACGTCTTGCACAATGGAAATTACAGTTCACTCAGTTTACTGTCTCGTACCGGACTTCGCTTCCTAAGGTCTTTCAGCAACTTATCGTTTTTTGAACCCTCTGCACGATTGGAAAGAACCAATATTTCTTGTTCTCCGCATGTTTCAGCTGTCGTCATCGTCGCGTAAATCCAAATAAGTTTTCATAGCAGAGTGACTCAAATTGATGATGTCTGATCATTGTAAATGATATTTCAGGTTAAAATAAAGCAACCTTCGTTGTTACGGAAAAGTCACATTCGCAATTCGCCTCAACGAGGCGCTTCTTTGTGTTGTACTGTATTTCAACGTGAGACGGAACTCACGCCTGAAGGCTGTAGATGCATTTATATTTTCTTTGGGCCGCCTAATCAAATTAAGCAAGGTAGTGGTCTTTGGATTCTTGTGATAGATTTTCAGATCGTTGACCATAATCACTTACTAGTTCGAGTTCCGGTGGTAATGCCACACATTCAGTGCACCTCACAGACAGCGTTATTTGGAGCGTCACAGGTCATTGAATATTTGCAACCTATAGGAGCAAAGCCAATGCGGTTACTTTCAAGATGGTAATTTTCGTAACCGTTCTCATGGCCTGATCTTCCCATATTTCATATAGCCTGTAAAAGTTTTCAGATGCAGGTTAATGCGCCGACTCACTTCAGAATCAGGATCACTGTCACTTGCAAAAGCTGTTTCTACAGGACGCCAGATCGACCGTGTCTATGATCGTTGAGTAACGCGAGCTTGAATGGTAAGCCTAATGAAAATGCCGGATAAACGGTATCATCGAGAAACTTTATCACGTGGAAACTATGCATCTCACGGCTGAACTCTAGAGAGGAGCGAAACAAATTATGAGTGTGAATCGTCAGAAAGAAACGTTATTTTTACAGCATTAGTAACGAGGTATTATTGACGACTGATTAAGTCATGCTTGTCAACAGCAGAATCAATCTGCGACTACCTTCAAGGCAGCATCTTCCAAAGCACGTTTGCGAAAATTTACTATCTTTTGGCTATACATTATCTTTTTATTGACTGTTTGAAGAAAGTAATATTAACAGCGTGTATTTCTTAGGTTGGATCAGTGTATTAACCAAAATCACATAAGAA